CGATTTTGATCATTTGACAATGCAGTTGGATGTCAATGACCTGTAATAACTCACTGGTAACGGTCAAGGCTCATTTGCACTTGTTTTAACGGTTATTTTAGAACTGTTTCCGGTGCTGATTTCCTTAATTCCTCTTTAAACAGACACCGCCGGAACCGTCTATACTGTAGTTATTCTGCACCGCACAAAGGGAAATAGGCTTGAACTTCGGTGTACGTTTTCTTGAATTTCGGTGTACGTTTTCTTGAATTTCGGTAAACTTCGGGAACTTTGGTGAACTTCGCTAAACCTTTACCAAATTTCTCGAACTTGGAACTGATCAAGAGCTATGAAAGCAAAATTGTCGCTCCGTAATCTTTGTAATTCGATCCATAAGTATCTGCTTTCAGTTAACTGGGGACTCGATTGTAGTAAGCACTCAAAATCGACAATTTCAGCCTTAAATATTTGCTAATTTAGTTTGAACTTCAGTTATCTTTTACAATTTATTTTGAACTTCGGGGAACTTTGACATTTATTTATTGAACTTTGGGGAACTAGGGCATTTTATTTTGAACTTCGAGGAACTTTGACGTTTGATTTTGAACTTCGGTGAACTCCGTGAACTTGGATGGATGTCGGTGAATTTCAGTGAACTTTTTTTACAAAGCAAACTCCAGTGACTTTCGGCTGAACCCCGCCCGGCTTGACGTCGACCGAAGTTCATGAGCTTCGACTTGACGTGTACATTTTTTTTGGAGCCTATTACCCCTTGGTACCGCACGCACAGGTGCGGGCTGGTTGCCTACTAGCACGACCCGTGCGTAAGGCGCCTTGGACAGGGGCGATATGCAAGCCCGTCCGCATTCGAGCGTGCGGTACAGCATAACTACGCTGGATAAAACAAAGGTTTTAAGTCGCGCCTTTCCTGGGGCACTAACCAAATTCTGAGTTTAGTGCCCCTGTAAAGGCATAAAAGAGCCCTAAAGGTGCTCAAAACTAGTGCCTTCAGAAGTCGTAGTGCCTTCGTAAAGGCACTAAACTCTTAGGACTTAGCACCTTTCTTTATTTAGTGTGCAGAAGTGAGCGCGCGAGGTTAAACAGCAACCTGGTAAAAACTGGCAGGTGCGGTTTTAAGTGTGGGTGGCGGAGGGCGATGCACTGTAGGTTATTGCCTCCTACTTTCAGTGGTTTCCCAGGAGCTGATTGGGGGGCGATTTGGCCCGAGGGCACTGTTAAAAACATTTTGTGATTTCCCAACACTTTCACGATACAAAGCAACTGTGAAATCACAACACTTCCTAGTAATTAAAAAGAGTGCATTTTGCTTTCTTACTTGGAAATAGTTGTAAGCCAACGTAATAATTTGCTGAAGTTGTGAATTATTGACAACGAAGAAGAGTTGTGATTTCACAAAGAGTTTTGGCAACTATTTTTTTTTTTACCACGAATTCTTCGTGAAGTTCTGACTTTTTTTCAACAGTGGGGGAAAGGGAGTGGGAATCGCCGTTTGCCCTCCCCACTCGTTCCCCTTTTCCCTGTTAAACCGCGCCTGCAGAATGGTCACTTGGACGGCAAAGCCAAACGTCTTTTTCAAATCGGATAGTTACGTTTTTTGAGGTGCAGTTTTAAAATTTACTTTTCCCCGTCCCTCCCTGAGACAGTAAAAATGTGTCTCCTTTGTCTTTCCCCAATAACGTCGGCTCATACTCTGTGCACCGAGTGTTCGGCACTCTGCTCAATCAGCGAGCACGCTGATGGACTTCCGGTGTAAGGAGACGTGCTCGTGTAAACGGTAATTAGTACCTAATTGAGTTCTGAGTGTCATGACTCTTCTGTTCCAGGGTGTCGCTGTTGGCGTTTTAGCGTTAATTCGGGCTTGGGATAATCAATTCCGGTTTATCTTCCGCCAACAAAGTTACGTTAGGCTTCCAGTTCTCCTAGTGATAAATCTAAAATGCGGGTTTTAAAA